TTGAGAAAATCTCTGAAACTCCCTTTTTCTCTTGTTACATCAAAGAATGTTCAAGGCATTAAAATATTTTTTGCGTAAAAGGGAAAGGAAGCATGCATTTCTTTTTGCTGCATTTCAAAAGCTTGGCATTAATGTTTTGTTAAGTGCAACAGTATGCAAATTGAATTAAAGTCAAGCTTTAATAACAGTGTGAAGAAAGGTACCGATAAAGAAACAATATTTTAAAGTGCTGTCCAGCAGTGGGGTTTTTCATCTGTTTTTTTTTCTTTTTGGACAATAAAAAAGGGTTAACCCACCCAATGTTATTCTCAAACTGCAAAGATCGTATCAACAAATAATTGAAGCACCTTCATAAGATCAAAAGGTTAATTGTGTAAAACTTCTAGTCTTATCAATGACATATTATAAAAATGAAAAGCAGTTTTTAAGTCCTGTATCTGATCCTACATGAAGGTCCTTGTCTTCACATGAAATATATACTATGGTTGTGACAGCAATTTTTTTCTCCTGTTTGTCATTTCTAAAAGACTGTAGCATGTTAATTCAGCATTTCATAAATTTGCAAGCCTCATCAATGGCAACTAGCTGCCCACCATATTTCTGTCTTAACGATATTGCACATGCACAAGATTTTCATTTAAAATGTGCTACCATTGGCACACTTTATATGAGTTATCCAGTCTGGAAGTGTCTCATGTTCCCTTCTCTAAATAGCAGGCAGTTAACCTCAGTCATTGCACAAGGTGATAGGATGCTGACTCTGTCATCCCTCGACTTTAGAAAAGCAAAGGGCTATTTATCTAGTGTCAAACACACAGCACTCTATTCCTCATTTATATATCCTTAGGGTGTAATGCGGTTTATGTCATGCCAGAGGAGACATGAGCATAAAAAATACATTTATACATTTGACAAGAGATGTTAATATGGACATATTCAGAAATGGCACTTTTTCAAGTAGCTCCAGCAAGATGCCACTGCATCATCTTAAGTTTAAACATATATTGTTAATTTAACATCTTGAGTTAATCACTATTTTCAGCTGTGGGTTTAAAAATGCTATTTGTTCCTAACAATCTTCCTTGATTTTTTTACATACATACTGTATGGTATTAAAAATGTATACTGCATATAAAAATATACAAAAGTTAAATATTTAAACCCTTTAAGTAAGTATTTTAATAATGTTTAATTACCAGTTAAGTATGTGCATACAAATCACAAAACAGTCAACTTAATATAAACAAAGACTCCTGTCTGTCCCATTTAGCAAGGGTAAAAATGCAGCATATGCTGGAATTCAAAATGTTTACCTATCAGCAACATTTTCTCCCATGTGCCAATATGAAAAGAGTACTTTAAATTGTATACATCAGTTTCCATAAAAATCAACACCCAGAGAAGAGCTACTCAGCATAGAAAGTACTGCTAAATATAGAAATTTAAAGAGGACTCCTTACCCACTGCTGAATAATACTGAATACCCAGCATGCAAAATATTCTATTTTGTATTAGTTTGTCTCTCTTGCAATTTCTACTCAAATTAAATTGAAGCCATGTTACTTCAGTATTACAGCAAAAAAAGATGTCCGTCATTTAAAAGGAATATGTACAGTATACAACATTTCAAGGCTGTTTATTAGCAAACCATTTTAGTTGAAATTTTAAGCTATACTAAATTTAAGTCTACTAAATGAAGTCTGTATTAGGTTAAAATGAATGTCTACTGCTGGAACACACATAAATAGTCAATTAATCGACTTTCATAAGTGTATTTTTCATTAACCCGACTGGCATTTATGTTACATTAACTGATGATAAAAATGCACACTTTATGACTGTTGCTTCTCTCCGATGAAGCAAAAGTTCTTTACTCTGAACTTCTGTCCAACTGAAACTTACTGCTTACTGCACTGTAAGCTCTTCTCAAAGACCTATTCAATTGAATAAGTCACTGAGCATTTCAAGCATGACTTCCCTGCTGAACATAGGTAATAATAAAAATATGAAATTATCTTTCTGCTGAGACCTCTAAAAGCAGTAAATTGAGGTTTTTTTTTTCATTTAATCAAGACAGTTCTGTACTTCAGGAGAAAAAAAAAAGGTCTGTACACCTAGTCAGCAAAGCCAATACAATTAATGGTACATAACAAACCCCATTCTGACCGATGGCAGATCAACACTACCCTTTTACTCATGATAAAAGACCATACACCAAGAGATTGCAAGACTTACTATAGTAAACAATTATATTTTGCAACACTTATCAGTGTTGTTTCCTTAAATATTGTACAATTACACAGTTTTAACAGTTTTGCTTTGGAATTGTAATGATTAAATATTCTTCTAGCATTTTTAAATAAAGCATAAACACTACAAATTAAACTGTTGCACTTGTGGTTAGATCTAATATCTGCACTGGATGGCAAAACCAGCTCCCTGATTAGCACTGCTAAGATCTTAGATCCCTATTTCAGTTACAGGCTCGGAGAAGTGTGCATATTCCTCCTAGTCTAACCAGATAGCTTGACAGGGCAATGCTCCTTACCAACCTTCCCTGTCAACAGAAGTTTGTTTTCATCGCATATACAGTAGCCCAGCTGAAGAAGATGCACTTCCGACTGCTAGGGTACAGGTGTGCTTTATTAATAGTTCCAACAGGAGTTTAAATGATGTGATGCATATCCTGGCAAAGTACTAATCAGTGGAGAAATGAAAGTGCTGAGGTGGATAACTGGTAAAGTACAGAACATTTAGGGTTTGGCTTCTGTGTTATTAGGGATGGAGGTCATCAGCTTTCATCACTTCTCCAAAGAAGTTATACAAGCAATAAACATAAAACATAATTCCTCCATAACAGAACACCGACTGCAAAGTATGCAGATATTATTTCAGTAGTGCTGTGGGATACATTTCAATTCCCATCATTTTAACAGGACAATCTATTTAAAGTAGTCAGCATAATTCTGCTAATCTTGTGCCACATCTGCCTTTTGATTTTTAAGGACGTAAGATAAAAATGCATTTCACACATGAGACATACTGTATAATAGTCTGGTATGGTCACAAAATTGTTTTTATATACTATATGCTGTGCTTTATCTAGGCAATAAAGCAAAATATACAAAACCCTAAGCTTCCTCTGTATGTGGTGTTATTTACTGGTAAACAACATTATTTCAGACAACAGCAGGATCAACAAATACAAATATTAAAAACTAAGTAAGATCATAAGGAGGGACACTTAGCCAGTCAGATTTATTCTGCTGTGTCTATTTTGTTAACATGAGAACCATACAAATCCACTTATTTTAGAATTCTAGCCGATCAAATTGCATAATAAAAAAGTCCTGCATTTAGGTCATAAATATAACATTTACTGTAACATTGTGTCCATTTCTCCTAGTGCCCTTGCCAAGGTTTTTGCTGTTTGGATTATAACTTGGAATTCCACTAGAGTGAAATAAGTATGGCATTTTTTATAATATCTTTATAAGATTAGGTGATAAGCTCAAAAGCTCAAACATGTCAGTTTCTTTTGATGTCATGTTTCAGATAAGTTTTACATTACTTTCTTGTGCTTTGACAGACATTTACAGACATTTTCTTATCAGTAAAAACATTTTAATGAAGGACTGATGGAAGAAATGGTAGGTTACTTTCAAGAAAATCATGAATAACCCGTTTCCACATCAACCATAGTCTTTCAACATCATTATACAAATTCAATATTTATGTTTTTTTTTATTTTCTCCTTGTCCACATATACGCCTATATTTTTCTCATGGTTTGACAGCTCCTGTCAATTTGAATTGCTCCCCTGGCCTTTATGCTCTGGTAGCACAAAGGCACGGCCCTACTTAAAAAATCTACAGTACAAGTGTCTAAAAGGAAATATGATATTTCTATAGAAACCTTAAGCTTTGAACACTCACAGAAAACTATCATGACAATAAAGTTTTCAGGTTGATCTCTGCAGTTCTCAGAATGTAGGAATGCCTGGGACAGCTCAGTACTGCGACAGAAGATCAAGTTAAATTGGGGCAAAAAGGCAACATGGGTCAAAAACACAGCTGACTGAACTTAATGCAGACAAGTGCACAATGTTCCATGCAGGTGGAAAAAAACAACAAATATAAAATGGGAAACACTTAGCTTTCAGAAGCCGTCTACGAAAAGAGACAAGTTTATCTTGACATTTCCATTTTCCAGACACTATGGGGAGCAGTGTATTTGAAACACAGGACAGGAGACACTAGAGAAAGGGTCACAAGAATCTGGAAAAAGCTACCCAGACATCTTTGCTAAAGAAATTACTTGATGAGATCCCCAGTTAAAAAAAAAAAACACTCCTTAAAAATGAAACAAGGAAAATGGGCCAGATGGCCTCTTTTCAATTGCAAATCTTATGATAATCATAATCCCTTATGTTGCTAACAGCAGTGGTGACATCACCTACAGTAACTTTGTGTGACTCAAGTGTAGTCTATAACCTAGACAAACTGTACTATACAATCTTAAAGCTATGAGGATGGTCATGCATAGCTATTGGAGAAATTATTACATATTGTATATGGAGTTTATAACAGAAGTTTGGGAGGAAGGATAGACACGCTTTTTCTTACCTAAACCTCGCACAGAGGACTTCTCTTCTACTACCTCCTCTCATTCCCCCTCTGATCTACATTCTTGCAGCCAACTCTTTAGCTCAATTCTCAAAATAGTGAGAGGGTTTTTGCAGCCTATCCTCACAGCTAGCATGTCAATCCCACAACTAGGTGAGCCACACTAAAAACTAAACATTTTTGCCCTCTATCACGTTCGTAAGGATATAACCCAAATAATAAAATATATACTGTAATAAATTGATTTTGTAAAACGGTAGTGCATTTACAGTTAATTTGCTTCTGGGTTAGCCTATGATCCAGTCTGAGAAAAAACAAGTGTTATTAAACCTGGGCACTTTTCTTTGGGCTCCACTTCTGTTGTTCTTTACTTACCATTTTATCCAGGAAGGTCACCAAATTCTAAAAAAAAAAAAGAAAGAAAGAAATGAATTGTAATATTTCTACTAGTGTTCCATTAGAAGCATTTTCTGAAACATCTTTCAGTGCCTTCTTCAGGAATAAAAAGCTTGGCAATAAGTTATCACTGATATTTTTCTCCAGTTAGGCCTTAATGACTATTTCTCATATTTCATAAGACTTTACTATCAGTTTGAAAATGAACACATTCTTTACTAACAAAACTGAAATCCACCCTTACAGAAATTAGCCGCCGTTCCCAGCCTGCCTTGCGTGCGCTTGGCTACAGCCCCCCAAGTGGGCGCTACAATACTGTACACTCACAGCACACAGGTGTCGAAACACGTGCATGTCTAATTCTTCTTAGTTCTGGCAAATTGACTGGATGTGATATTTACAATCAATATTTCTGAACAAAACACGTGTTTTAGTATGAAATTAAAAATTAATGACATTTCCCATAATGACAACTCTAGCAATGAATTTTGCAATAAGTGTAACCATGATAGTTTGTGTGTCTACTTCGACTAGAAACATCAGTAAATTAAGCACTGAAAAAGTTCCATTAGGATAAGATACAGTAAAATAAGTTTTTCTTGCTATCAAAAAGTGATCAGAACAGCCTTAAATTTGCGTAATACTGGAATAGTACTGTAACTTTCCATTTGGATCCAAGTACTGTCCAGGAAAGGGTTCCCTCACTCTCAACTATTGTAACAAGCTCAGAAAGTCTACTGTTCATGAGATTTTTTGCTTACATTGTGGACAATCTTTCTCTTCACATGTAATCCAGGTCTTTGTTTGCTATTATGCCTTGCTTGACTTGGCAGTTTTTCCATCAACACACTGAAACTTTTATCAAAACTCCTATTAGAACTCTGAAATTTCCAATAAACAATAATACATTTTCTTTATTAAATCTGAAATATCCAGGAACTGTATCTCCATAAAAGTTGCACAAAGTGCTAAATGACTAATGCCTGGACAAGCAAGTGCCTGCTCAAGTGTGCTCACTCCCCCAACTAAGATACACAAATCCACATATGAAAGCTTTAAAAACAAGTTCTAAATTCCTCATACATCTATTCCTAACCCAACCGGTTTCAGTCATGTTTTTCTAACTGCAAGAAGTGGTACTGTTTCTACCAGGAGAAGGGAAATTGAAAGGACGTTAAACAATTTATAAATAGGTTCATTTTGCATCTTTAAGAGTGGGAGAGTATTACTTTTTTGGCATCACTTCTTTTCACTACTTTTTCCATTTTATTTCCTGGGTTAGAGATTTCAGAAGGTCACGTTTGTGGTGACTTAAAGCAAAAGACATAGACAGTATAAGTCTCGGACAATCAACACAAATGCTAAGCATCTTCGGATTCAAATTAACTTGTGAAAAGGACTGGCTAGCAGATTTCAGCTGCAATATGGTACAACAGTCTCGGAAGCATTCACCAATGCTCAAGGTTATACACAGACTTCATTATTCTAAAGTCAAACTTCGTAATATTTCAGCAGAACCAGAGGTTTCAGCAATACTAGAATACAGCTTATTCCAATTGCAATATATTCCTATTCCTGAACAGCACTCCTAAATGTTCCCCCCAGCACTGAGGACAGTAATATGATGTACTTGTAATATATTATATTACTCATCACATATTTTAATCAGATTCAATACTGCCAGCAGCCATATCACCCTGCAACTCACAACTGGCAACCCACTGAAGCTAAGCTCTCCTCCCCACTGATAGCTGATGTGTGGTGAGCGTTCTGGCGCACTATGGCTGCCGTCGCATCATCCAGGTGGATGCTGCACATTGGTGGTGGTGGAGGGGAGTCCCCATTACCTGTAAAGCGCTTTGAGTGGAGTGTCCAGAAAAGCGCTATATAAGTGTAAGCAGGTGTGAGCCTGGTCAGTACCTGGATGGGAGACCTCCTGGGAAAAACTAAGGTTGCTGCTGGAAGAGGTGTTAGTGGGGCCAGCGGGGGGTGCTCACCCTGCGGTCCATGTGGGTCCTAATGCCCCAGTATAGTGACGGGGACACTATACTGTAAACAGGCGCTGTCCTTCGGATGAGACGTAAAACCGAGGTCCTGACTCTCTGTGGTCATTAAAAATCCCAGGGCGCTTCTCGAAAAGAGTAGGGGTGTAACCCCGGTGTCCTGGCCAAATTTCCAATTGGCCCTTACTAATCATGGCCTCCTAATAATCCCCCTCTATGAATTGGCTACATTACTCTGCTCTCCTCCCCACTGATAGCTGATGTGTGGTGAGCGTTCTGGCGCACTATGGCTGCCGTCGCATCATCCAGGTGGATGCTGCACATTGGTGGTGGTGGAGGGGAGTCCCCATTACCTGTAAAGCGCTTTGAGTGGAGTGTCCAGAAAAGCGCTATATAAGTGTAAGCAATTATTATTATTACTGTTGTTACAGAAGGGTTCATAATAGTATATAATAAACCAGTGGTATAAAACATTTTTTTAAAACATTTCCTTTTATTTGTTAAAACAACAAAACATAAAACAACAGTTCCAAGAAAAAAAAACTACATGAATGCAGGGAGAATAAATCCCAACTCTGCAATTAGATCAGGACTTTTAAGCCGTCAGGCAACAGTGGTGACCACTCGGCTTCCATGATGGTCAAGTCAAGAAATACACCAGTAGTATTAAAAGGTGGCATACCTTACAAAGCTCTTCTTGAGAATACTCCTCTATGTCTGCAGAAATAAAAGAAAAAGAAAAATTACTTTGTGCTTTTCCAACTGTTTTCAGCTGCACTTTTCACCTCGGATGGTCAGTGTGCTATTCTGGCTGGAACAAGGTGGGATTACACCCCATCACAGTGTGCACACACACTTCAGGCAATGCAAAGATGATGAACCTGGACAGCATGCAGTATCTCTGGACTGCTGAACGAATCCAGAGCATAATTTAAACAACACATTTTCCAACAACCCCTTTATATTTTATAAAATCTACCATTAAAAAAACCTACTAGGAAATCTTACATGTATTTAACCACAAAGGCAACTTATTATTTAATTATTAGTGGCAATTTTCTATAGAAATGTTTGTGGTAAACGTAATACAGTCTAGGTTTTCATTTAGCCCATTGTACAGTAACCGAGCAATCAGCAAACTGAATCATTTTCCAGTAAGTGTTATCACCTAGAAGTTCCCCATAACAAAAATAAGACATTGGAAAGTTTATAACGTACAGAAAAAATCTGGACCATCTTTTTTTTTTTATTATTTAATGCAACACCTTGCAACTTTTCAGCAATTAGTGTTAAACAATTTCAACCATACAGTACATTTATGTCAGCGGAAGAAAAAAAATAGTCAAAGAGACCAGGTGATTCAAACACTGGAATAACAGGTATATTGTGTTTTTTAACCTGAAGCCTCAATTTTGTTTATGGTTTTCTCCCCCATTCCTTTTAAAGTAAAGGTGTTGAAGTAAATAAGCATGAAATGAGATTTCCTGCTCTACTGACAGTACAACATTAATAAAGATTTATACAACAGAGATTCGTCAAATCCTGACAATCCCGGGCACCCCATAGTACAAGGATAATGATTTTAAATGGCAATTAACACTAAAGCCAAAACTTCCACAGTTTATTCAAAGCTTATCATCAACACGGTGAATATCTGTACACTTCCAGATGCTTTTTACTTCATCATATCATTCAGCCATGCGGATATTATTCAAAACAGTTGCCATCTAGAAGCACAAAATAAATTAAACTGACATTAATCAGCATGACTAAACAGTTAGGCAGTTTAAGAAACATCTTCTTTCTCCTTCATTCCTCAAGATCTCCCATTCAGTTAAATCCGTGTTTGTTTTTATAAAATATTTAAACAATACATTTAAAAATAAATAATAAATAAAATAATAATGAATTTTAATAATAAAGGGTTATTTTATTCCAAGACCTGGTGAGCAGTTTACAGTATATTCAGCTTGACTCTTGCAAAATGACATTCTTCTCACTTGAATGCTATAGTGTACTTTATACTGTATAGTACAAGTACAGGTCGCTCTTATTTACAGTACAGTCTGTAGAAGATGGCATTCCTGATAAAACACAGCACAAACCAAAACAAGTAATTTAAGAAGGAAGAACACTAAGCGTAAATAGAAAGGGCAGTGCTACGCAAACAAAGGGTTGAACTCCCAAATAAAAACAATTACAGATATTTATTCACGTGAAATACTCATGGAGTTGTACCAAAAGTCCATTTCAAACTAAATGTTTGTTAATAACACAAATGAATATTTAATTTAGTAAAAGGTGAAGGGAAGACATGTTAGTGGTGGGTGAAGAATAGTGTGGAAAGTGAAGGAGTCATGTGCTCACTTACATCTGGACTGCACAACGGTCTTCAAACTTTGTAATGTCAGCAAAAATGTTTTTATGTCTCATAAGTAATATTACAAAACAGGTTTTCCTTATTTATGTTATTTATGTAACTTCTGATTTATTTTATAGTGTTATAGATTGAATGTTAAGGTTGACAATTGTTTTAACAAATAATGTGTCAGTAACTTACTTTGTTTTATGGTTTTATTGAAACTTGTAGTTCAACAGTGAACAATATCTGGAGAAACACCCAGACTATGATCGTCCAGCTGCCCTTCAATCACCCCAAATAACTTTATTCATCGTGGTACGCAACTGTGTACAAGCAGCATATATAGTCTCAAATGCTTTGCACAGTTACTGTACCTATTGTTTCCTTCTGAAAGTCCCTTCAAAAGAAGACACATTGAGACGTTTCAAAGCACCTCTTTCTCCAAAGGTAGATTAGAGCCAGTCAAGACATCTTATCAATTAAAGTCACTCTGCTAGTGGGAGTATGTCCACCTTCTTCTGACAAGCCCAGCAGAGAGAAACAGCTCCAATCTGCAAGCCCTGTGGCTGGCACACAGTCAAGAACTCTGAGTGACCTTCTGGAACTCCTGGTGGTCGGGGATGAGCCTAGCATATTGTAACCTTGTTAGATGTTTCCCTAGTGATTTCTAGGAGACTCTCTTAAGTTTCAGTAAATGCTAGGTAGGATTAAATTTAAGTTTGGCTAGTTTTATACAAAAACACCTAAAACTTTATTGCTACACATATTATCCTGCAGTTCAGCTAAAAGGCTTTAAAAGACCAAAATGGGTAGGTAAAAGGCCATTAATACCCAGATCATAAAGTTTATTTCATTTAATGAAGAGCAAAATTAGATAGATACTTCACTAAACAACTCACAATCGGTCCTTGCCTTAAAAATGACACTTGTGGGACAGCTTAGCAATTAGACATTAAAAATGATTAATGTAGCAGAAATCTTTATCTTTTCCTGGTTTCTGCCAGTTTTAAAGGGTGGCTAAAAACAGACTTAATAGTACAGACAACTTCTAGATTAGCTCACCAGGGGGTGCTGTGGAATCTCCATAGCCTTTCATGTCTAGAGCCAGAACTCTGAAACCCGCATCTGCCAGAGCTGGGATCTGCAGCAGAGAAAAGAATACTCCTGTCAGTCAAACCACCCTCAACAGCTCTGTAGGATAGCAGACTGGGAATACACTACCCAGGTTCACCTTGCATTAACCACCAGCAAAGTCAACGTGTCTTACATTACCCTCTTCATTGTGGCTCTTGTGTGAATCATGTTCTAATTTGTAACAGTTAAAGAACCTACAGTACAAAAGCTGTCAGCCATCAAAAAAAACAAAACAAATAAAAGTTTTAAAAGACTTTGAATAACTTTGGATTTAGACTTTGTCTTTTATCATTTATGCTTGGTAATTCCTATGTGCCGTGCAAATGGACTAGAAACTAAAATCCTTAGAGATTGACTGAATAGAATGAAGACCTCATCCTGTTTGATTCATAGAAAAAGAAGTGTAAAAGGAAGATGACCAACTGACTTGCATACAGTAGCCCCAGTTAGGACTAAAATTAGACTTGGCTTTTAAAAGATTTGTAGTTCAGGTGGGTAGCTGCGTCAGCATGCGTAGGCTGCAAAGGAACAAGTAATAGGTTTATTCCATGCTGAAAAAAAGAAGAAAGAGAACACAACGTTTCGGCCGTGGATTCTTCTTCAGGTGTGAGAGAGACAGGGCAGTAGGCAGTACTGGGCAGTACAGTTGCCTACTGCCCTGTGTCTCTCTCACACCTGAAGAAGGCTCCACGGCCGAAACGTTGTGTTCTCTTTCTTCTTTTTTTCAGCATGGAATAAACCTATTACTTGTTCCTTTGCAGCCTACGCATGCTGACGCAGCTACCCACCTGAACTACAAATCTTTTAAAAGCCAAGTCTAATTTTAGTCCTAACTGGGGCTACTGTACATAAGTGAATTATGAAAATTTCATCAGACTTTCAAAACATACCATATGGAAAGTCACAAAAATAAGTAAATAAAGTATCAATCTGTACACTGATTAACAAGAAGTAACTTCCACACACACATCACCGAGTGTGGTTACCAACTGTGTTGATAAATTATAATATCCCCTGTGGTAACTGTTGTTGACTGTTGATCGAGCTGAAGATTACTGCATCTTAAAAGTAATAATACGTTATAATCACATAGCTGGACTGGAAAACAACTGTACTTTGGCATATACTACATTTTGGTCATAACTTCGATGAACCACAATAGTATAATAATGCAGAGTACTAGTTTTTTTTTTATAACATCTTTACAGTAATATAAAACCCCTTCTACTGTATAAAAGACCCAGAAGTCAACAGAATGTGATTTTATGACTAGTTTACAGCATATAAAACTAACTAACAGGCCAAAGCCAGCAGAAGGAGCAGAGGCATTGTAATACAATGCAGAGCTACTGTAGAAACACAGGTGTCCACTCCTGGACCTGGAGGGCTGGGTTGTATGCAGCTTTCGTATTCTCTTTAAAACACTGGCACCTGGAGAGCAGGGAAAAGCTTTTAACTTCTCCAGGTAATTCAATAAACAACTGGCTTAGTTCATTAACAGCCAAGTTAGACTGAAAAGCACTAAACACTCCTGCCTTCCAGGATCAGAACTGGACACCCCTGATAGAACAAAACAGATGTTTAACAGAATAACGATTATATTCCTGAAGAAAATGCTTTTGTATTAGGAAATAAGTGATGTTTCTCTTCCACATTCAAAATATTAAATATTCTTTTTTTAAAATGCACGCAAACTTTAGATAATGTTTCCATGTTCTTCTTAATTTTTGTCACAAACACACAATCTCAGCATGTTCTTCCCAGGTAATGGGTGAGCCAAATGTCATTATCAATTAAGTCCAGGCAAAGGCAAAGGAGTACCGGTGATCTTTCAGACATGGGCTAGATTATATCAAGCTCTAACATGTTGCATTTAATATGAAATTGCAACCTGTTAAAATAAATCAATTCCTTTACTTTAAACACTACAGATTTACATGACAGCAAAACTCGCACTAATATTAAAAAGAAAATACAAGACGTAATGCTGTCAGGAGAAGGTTTTCTTAAACATAGACACTTAGTATACAGTTTCAGAAGGCTTTTTAAAAAATGATATGTTGTAAGGTTGTTGAATTTTGCTTGATGTAGACCAAATCTAGTTTCCAAATCAATTGTTGAAAGCTAAATATTCTTTTACAAATTATTTGAGGTTACATGTGGTTTTCAGACAGCAGCTCATGCTGAATGCAGTCAGCTTACTCTGGGTGATGCAGACATTATTCAGTTAAAGCAAATTAATTCAGTGCCAAGGTTTAACAGCCCATTTTTAAATGCTCAAATGTTGTATATTTAATGTATTGATAAGAGTTTTCATGCAATACAACTAACTTCACAGTCTACAATAATAAATCACTATAACGAGAACATCGCTTAGCACTTACCAACAAATTCACTGTAAAGAGTTTTAGCAAGGGTTTAGAATAGGTACAGTATAGTACCTCTTTGTCCTTCAGCTAATGTGACAGACTCACAAAAAATACCTACGGTACCTGCCCTGCCTTTTTCTATACTGTACCATTAAGGGTGCTCAAGCATACCTGATATCTCCAGGAGTACCAGCTTTCAGGGAATCCATGACACAGAAGAACAGGTGGTCCATCTCCTTTCTCCACGTAATGGGTCTTGACTCCAGGCTTCAGAATACACAGGAACCAGATACAAAAGAGTGAATGTTTAGGTTTTTTGTCTCAGACATAAACATCCTATTTTTTACCTGTCTAAATTTGTTGACACATTCTAAACTTAAACTATGAAACAGACTTCCCAGCACTAATGAGAGACACTGACGACAGTCAGATCACACAGCTATGCAACCAATAAACCTGTACATTCCCAAACACCGCTGCTCTGCAACACTGGGCAGATAAGGCTGTATTAGAGCTCTCCCTCTAATCAATGTGCAGTAGATAATATATTATATATGACTAATACATTTTTAATGTTGTACAGCATTTATACAAGAAAAATCTTAATGAGCTAAAAGCTACAGTTTTAAGTTCCAAGAGGATAACAATAAACAGCTATCATCAGCTTTTTCATCAATAATGAGCTTTTCTTTTCATGGCTGTTGCCATTATTACTGTGGTTAATATATTTTACAGCATTATGCGCAGCAGAAAAAAAGCCCATACTGTATGGCTTCCTTCCGTATAATCTCAGTTATTACCTTAATGGAAACAAACCCATGAGAAACTTCTTCAGGATGGATAGACGATGGGACCATTTCATCCTGACCTAACAACTAGAAGAAATAAAATGATTAAGAACTTAAGAAGAACTAAACACAAGTCAAATATGTATATATAGCCACAACAAAACTAAAGAGTAATGTTACATTATATATATATTTGCTAAGCCAACACTAATACTATGGTTAGTGGGGTTTTTTTCCCCCATTCTTGCCAGGAATATGATCCTCAAGCATTTTACAAGAAAAAGGTGAATACACTGTTATAGCTAAATATAACAGATATTTTAGCTGAAAAGGGGTGAGCTTGTTGAGAATGTGAGAAGCAAATTCAATCTAAGCTTATTGGAAGTACTGTATATAAATATTGGTGTTCCAACAGCACTTCAGCCACACAAACAAGTTTTGACTCTACTGACAAACCACACAGAATAATGCTAAAAACAGTCCTTCACCTTTTCTTGGTTTCCAACTAGTTATGACCAAGAACCTTTCTGTTCAGTCTAAACAGTTTAACAACAGTTGGTTTTCTGATCTAAATGTGGCTTAAGAGGCTCATTTGCTAAAAAGACAGTTTTGTAAGTGAGAAAAGTGTGGTATGATAGTTATATAACAATCTATAACTATTGGCAAAGCAGGGTCTGAAATGACAAGAAAATGGCATGCTAAACCACAGGCAGGAACATTGAGTGGTTTAGCGCTGATGGGGTGGTTACTTTCTGTCAAACTGTATATATTGTACAGTAACAGCAGTTACAGAGAAAACGTCTTGGAGACTGAGTTTGAGGCGTCTTTAAATTTGCTACAAGTAGCTTAGTAATACAGTACATCTTATTTTGACCTTCTTTTTCTTAAGAAAAAGAAAAAGTAAGCTAGTTGTTTTTATCAGGAGGTAACCATCAATATAAATTACTTTTTTAATTAAAACATTTAAAATGTAGTTCTAATCACACAAATTACTAAAAAAAGTTGTCCCTTTAAGGCAAACCTAAGACCAATTCTCTCTTGTATTATGTAGGACATACAATGTATTAAAAAAAATTAGAACAACAAAGTCAAAAAGCTTTTGTGATCATTGATTAATATGAATTGTAAGTACAGAATGTTTAATTTTTTCAGACAATTCCATGCATATATTTTATCATATTAGGACAACAACATACATTGTGTTCAACCCAGAAAAAATGTTCTCCCTGTAAGTTACCCATAGAGAAATGAGACATCGTTCTTCTACAAAGCTTTGTCTGCCATTATACAGTTTGTATGATGCAGAAGTCACAAAAAGACAAAACTGATTTAGCAGCAGGTCTTGGGAAACTGGCCGTTAATGCTTATCCTGACGCAAGAGCAATGCTTTGATTTTCCTGCAAAAACAAAAAGGCAGGAGTATACTGGTCCTGGGATTTTAAACAGCAGTAGACTTGTTTAATATTTGTCTATTGGGTTAATCATAATGATAGAAAGTTATATTTCTTCTATTTAAAAATTTTGAATGAAACTATATAGTTCCCTTGGTAAAGTATATTTCACACGGCCATGTGCTCCTCTAGTCGATTTCACTATACTGTTTATTCTTATGCAATTTAAAAGGCATATTTGTTTACTTTACTGACTTTGCTTGAGGTTGCAGTAAGTTGTCTGAACCGAAGTGTACTACATAGCACTTTTACACTGAAAAGAAACAAGAAAAAAATTCCAAATACTGTAGAATGATGCACACAATATAAAGTGGATCTACAAATAATTCAGTATCTGAGAGAAGGATTCATGGCTTCAAAATTGTGAACAATCAGAAGGAAGATGGCATTATTTATAACTGGCACAGCGAGGTTTTTATAAAGACAGCCAATGGAAGACGATATGTCTCAGGTGACAGCCTGGTCCGTTGAGGCTAGGGAAAGTTCTATATGAGAGTTTACCTCCACTCCTGAGAGGGCCTGCAGCTCTTTTAGGGCTTCAGTGGTGTCTTCAACAAGAATTGTGGCCATACCCAGGTCTCTAGCCACCTTCAGATTAGCTCCAATGTCATCCAGAAAGATCACCTGGAACAAGAGTCTCAAACATCAGGATTTCTCTGGAAGAACCAAGCTTTTCTCTTAAAGTTCACAATGGAAAGTCACTAGTAAGCCTGATCTATACTGTATATGTCTATGGGTTGTCTGTAGGTAACTCCGTCTGTAGGTTGTCTCAACTTAACTTTTAACCTCTTGTATCACCAGGTCAGGGTCTATGCTTACAATGCATAAATAAATTCTCATTAAAATTATTTCAGACATTACTACAGTAACCAAGAAAGCAATGAACTAAAAACATTATTTGGCATTTTGTTGTTTAAATTCAAAACACATATAAAGAGAAATCAAGTTGGGAATTCTTTTTAAAATAAAAATAAACCCTAAACTGAAAGTAAAACATTTGTTAAATGTTAAAAAAGGGAAAGCTGGTAAATGACAAAAGTAACTTCTAAGAATATCTGAACATAATAAATGTGACATAAAGGAGGCCAATTGGATTATTTTGGTTATTAATACCTTTGATCCAAAAATCACACCCAGCTGTTTGCTGTATATTTAATGTGTCAGCTTCATTAAGTAGACCACGTAGTGATGTACAAACAAGAACTTTCTATGTTAAGTCCAAAAATGTGATTCCCCATTATGTATAGTATGTACATGCCCTTACATTATTTTTCTGCATTGGGAGTATATTCTCAGGAGGAGGAACGTAAACAGCTTCATTTTGGTGTTAAATTTTTTAATTAAAATTCATTCTATACAGCAATCGCATATTTGGGGACAGTTTTATAAAAGCAATAAGGCACTCAAGGCCTGTGCTGTATCGTGGATATAGTCACAGTTAAAAGGTTTGCCGGCCCTACACTTCGCGTCGGGCCTAACAACGCCTTTTAACTGTGACTACAGTATATCCACGATATAGCACGGCCTCGAGTGCCTTATTGCTCAAGTAGAACATTGAGTTGTCTCTGCTTAGAACATTCAGAGATCTGAGATTTTCGATTCCAGAATGTAGGAACCCCCATAGTACAAGAACACAACGTACATTCCACAAAGCTTCAAAATATTCCCAGCACAGGAATCCTGCTGTATCTAATTTTTCTTTCTGGGTCAGCATCAACTACATTTTTAGTGGGGGGAGTGACGTGTGGTTTTGAAATGCACACTCCACTGGTGCAACAGGTTTTCCAAATGCCTCATTTCTGGGAAGGCAAGGGAAGGTGATGCAACATAAGAAACATTTGAAGTTAAAATTCTAAAAACAGTTGACTTTGACTTCCTTGACGTCTTAGAAACTTGTTCCAATACACAAATACTGTAAGTGTTTCCTATCTTCCATCCCAAATGAAATTCCCTTAGTTTCAGTTAAGGCCATGTGTCTTTGTTTTGCTACTGAGTGCAAATTAGTCACCTTGGTTGACCCTATCTATACCCCTTAAAATTTTATACATAGTGCCTTGCAAACGTATTCAGAGCCCTCCACAGTTTTGAGACACAAGTTTGAATACTTCCTATGCAATCAACATACAGTATTTCATTTTTCTCTCTTTAGTTTTTGCTGACATTTACATGTATAGTAATTTGTCTTACCTGTAGAAACCTTCAATTGGATCA